GCCTGGAATTCTGGCACCAAGTAGCAGGCACCTCTGTGGTTCAGACGGACCATTTGCTGTTTCCTGGGCTTTGTCTGAGTAAAGGTGTGCAGGCTAATTGCCCTTTCCTGCCAGCTTGGCCCATCATCAGAACCATCCCTGTGGTCCCCATTGCCAAGGACCGTGTCTGGTTCAGTTGGTGTGGGTAGTTGATCACTGAGCTTCTAACACATTTAATGGCCATTTGCTGCCTGGAACTGCCCCCCTCATAGTTATTTGGGGCAGGCTTTTGTGCTTCTTTAGAAATGACCTTGGGGATGCCCAGTGTGCGCCCCAGACCTAGGGTTGGAACTCCCACAGCCCGGGCCCCTACATTGTCCCCCAGCTCTTGGACTTGCTGTGGCAACATTTCTGCCGTCACATTTGCTGTGTCCCGCTGCTCATGGGGTGTGCCTGCATGGGGACTGAGACACCTAACACCTAGGCTTGACCTTGAAAAAGCGCTGGGCTCTGCTCTTCCTGGCCTTGAGTGCCAGCCATGGGGTTAGGGAAGTATCAGCTCCACAGATGAGCTGAGGATGTGAGAGCAGGGATGCCAAGGCAGGTGGAACAGCAGAGGTGCAGGGAACCTATGCTTGGGAGAAGCTGCATAGCCATTTGTGTGAACACGAAGAAATTGTCCACCTCACCTCACCCCCACCCCCACCCCACACACACTTTTTAGTCCTCTGGTTCCCTGAGTCTATCTTCCTCTTAAAGTGATCTGGTGAGCCTTATGGGCTGATTGAATAAGACAATAAGACAAAAATGGTGTTGGGATGACTGGGAATGATAACACCAACAGGCCAGGTCCAGGGGCCCCACCAGGCTGTGTTTGGGTCCTGGTCCCTGGAAGTTTCCAGAACAAAGGTCCTGTGCCACCTGTGAGGCTTCTCCTCAGGAATCTCCTTGTGGACCCTCTGCCTCAGGCTGCTCTGGATAAAGGAGAGCCCTTACAGGTGGGATGGGCAATGCCTAGCCTCAGCCACCTTCGGGGGTGCCCAGAGGCTCTGGTTCATCCTGGAGTGAGCGCCAGGTGCAGGCCAGGAGGAGGGAGTAGAGTGTCAGGGCTCATGCTCTGAGTAGTTGGTGGCTAACATGCCTTCTTGTGCTCCCTGCCCCGCCCCCTCCAGTGATCCCCGCCGCTGACCTCTCACAGCAGATCTCCACTGCGGGCACTGAGGCCTCCGGCACAGGCAACATGAAATTCATGCTCAACGGGGCCCTCACCATTGGCACCATGGATGGTGCCAATGTGGAGATGGCCGAGGAAGCCGGAGCAGAGAACCTCTTCATTTTTGGCCTGCGGGTAGAAGACATTGAGGCCCTGGACAAGAAAGGGTGTGTGTCTCTCCATGTGCCATTGAGGGTATGGCAGCATCTTGGGCGCTGCCCAGAGGCCTGTGGAGGGCCACGAAGGGCTCTCTGGCCAGGCCCCTGCTTGCCAGGGTGAATGCTTGCCCAGAGAGGGGGTGTGTGGCTGCCGGCATGCTGGCCTTGTCTGCCCACTTCCAGAGCACCAAGCATGCTGTCCAGGGAGGCTTGTTTTGGGCAGGAGCTGGCTGCTCTGTGCTTCTTCTCCATGGCCCAGTCTGAGGGGTCCAGACCAAGTGTTTCCAAAAGGGTGGAAGGCCCTGGTCTCTGTTGGGGGAGCCCTCACGGACAGGGCCCTGATCACTCTTGACCTATTTGGGGATTTGGGGCTGACCCACTGCCAAGATTCCCTAGCCTAGTTTTTTAAATTAACCCTTTTGTCTAGGAATAGTTTTAGATTTATAGAAAAATTGCAAAGACAGTAGAGAGAGTTCCACATACCCTTCCAATTTCACCTGTTGCTTACATTTTACTAATTAGCGTGGAACATTGTCAAAATTAATTAACCAATAGTGGCATGTTGTTACTTATTAAAGTCCATACTTTATTTTACCATTTGCCATGAATGTCCTGTCATTTTCTGTCCCAGTATCCCATCCAAGGCACCTTCTCTGGTCTGACAGTTGTTCAGCCTTTCCTCGTTTTTCATGCCCTTGGACACTCTTGAGGAGAACTTGGCTGGATTCTGAGCAATAATTAANCCTCTTCCCTAGTTGAAAATGTAGTTAGTGTTTTTATTTTATTTTATTAGTATTATTATTTTAAGCTGAGCCATCCTGCCACCTGTTGGCAGCTCAGCGGCTGCTCAGCTCGGGCCGGGAATGTTTTTATTTTTTTCTATACTCCATGTTATTCTGTCTGATTTCTGGAAGTGGGAAGATTCAGAAGTAAGGGACACCCATATTCCTACTAGGACCTGAAGTCAGATGTTAAAGATAAGCCACAAGTCTATACTGCTTATGGCTTGTTCGTGGCTCTCCGGTGAATACTGTCTGAGGCTGCCTCTCACCCCTGAGTAGACATCCTCCTCACACACATTGAAATTTAAAACCGGTGGCCTCGTGAGGACACCTCAGTTTGTTGGAGCTTAAGGTGAGCCTGCCATTGTAGCTGATTCTCTGTCTGCTCCTGTGCAAGAGGGCATCAGGACAGGAGTGGGGAGATTTGGGGATTCACCTGTCACCCTCAAAGGCTAACAATGCCGTTACCATGATCCTGGGGTCACCTTTTTTTCGAGTGCCCATTATGTGCAAGGGCCTTGAGTACTGGTGACCAGACCCAAAGCAGTCTCCTGTGTTGGGCTATTCTGGAAACAGGGGTGCAGTTTCTTCTGTGGGCCTTTGGAAGAGTCTGTTCCTGACTGGCCTTCCTCGTCACCCTGGGACACAAGTGCAAAATCTAGGGGCCTTTTCCCCCTTTTATAAGTGGGATTTCCTTGAGAGTTGCGGGGCCCAGTGGCCACACCCTACCACCTGTGTAAAGGTTGACCTCTGCGGATGCTGATTACCAAGATGTGTAATAAGGCAGCGGATTGTGTGGCTCTGGTTGCTTCACTTGAATCTCTTGTTTGTCCTGCAGGAATAAAGAAGGACCCTGCCAAGGTCTTTGTGCCCAGGACTATCATGATCGGGGGCAAGGTGAGATAATGACCTCTTCGTTTGATCTTTGGCCAGAATGGAAAACCACCTGCTTTTCAGCAGTNATAATAAGCCAAGAAGCCACCAGGTAGGGCCTTTGGACCTGATTAATTGACAGATGGCCCAGTGGCTGCCCACTCACTGCTCCATTTTTGTGTATCCTCATCTTCAGTCTGCCTGTCAGATGCCTAGAAAAACATTAATAGCTTGTATTTTTACTTTATGTCCTACCTCATTCTCCCCAGAAAGGATCTGAGGCAGCTCACATAGACAAAAAGTTAAAAACAAAAACAAGGTGAAGACTTGGGTCCAGGCAGAATGAGCAGGGGAGACAGGATGAGCCGGCCACGCCCACTTCCTTGGCAGAAATGGGCTGGGAACTTGACATTGAGCCTTGGTGCCAAAACCAGAAGAGCGCGCATCTCGTGAAGGGGCTGCTCAGGCCAGGGGAGCGCATGGCGTTTGTGATGCTCTGACAGAGACATGCAGCCTGGGATGGTGGTTTCTTACAGGTAGTGCCCACACCTGAAACACACTGACCTCAGGACGAGTCTATACACCTTTCAACCCTAGTTTAACAGAGGCATGTGTTTCCCATATGTGAGAATTGCTATAGGCAGCTCCAAGGTGCCTCAGAGAGGAGGAGGTGTAACCCACTTCAGCCTTTGGGTCCCAGGCCATCCCCAGCTGCTAACACTGACCACAAGGCCTTGGAGAACAGGCAGGCAAGTAAATGCGCCCCTCTCCACCCCTAGAGAAGTTCTGGGCTGCCGAGACTGGTAAGTTCTAGAGCTTAGAAATTAGAGGAGGAAGGTCAATGATCAAGAGGCTGCGTCCCCGGTGGGCTTACATTCTCCAAGCCAGGACACACCCTTGTGCCTGTACAGCAGAGGCAGGAAAGCCCCCTCTGGGGCAGTTCAAGGCCCCATTCTTATTAAGCCACAGCTCTCTGAGAGGTTACTTAGCTAGGATGTAAGACGCTAGCCTATCACCAGTGACAGGGGACGGGAAAAATGGGATTGTTAGTGGGTCCTGGGTTCCTGGTGGGTGGGAACAGAACTACAGGGGAGGCTGGTTTGACAAAAAGCCAAATAACACAAGAGCCACCATCAGTGAGTGAATGAGGGGATGCTCATGGGCCAGAACTTGAGTCCCCACACTCCAGTAGCCTGTCCTTTCAGGAATAGTCAGGGGCTTATCTAGGGTCTGTGGTGAAACCCTAGAGCCTGTCCACGGACATAACCACATTCAGTGAGTTTGCTCAGCATGAGATTGAAAGGGTCACCTATACAGGCCATTATTTTAGGAAAATGCCACCTGCCACACCTGGAAAAGGCCCCTTGCTGGAAGAAGGGAGGAAAGAAAGGCCCTCTTAGCCTTACAGTCGCCCTCCACACACGTGGCCAGGCTGAGAGTAACCAGGCTGCGGGTGGGGCTTGGGTGGCGCTGGAGGTAGCACTGAGAAAGCAACAGACCACCACCAGCATTTTATTAAATGTTCAGTCCAAGATCAGGTTAGGTGAACAGGTGCGTGGAAAGTGGAGGAAGTGCACATCACTGACTCCTCCCCCACTGTGAGCAGCAGGGCCTGCCCAGGGAGGTAGGGATGCCAAGGAAGGCAAGCAGGGTGCACAGGGCAGGAGGGCCTGATGGAACCATTAGAGTCCATTCTGCATGTGCTGGGAAGGAACAGAAGAACCCAAGTCTCCCCATGTTCTCGTGGGTGGTGTTGGAAAGCTCAGTGTAGTCCGAAGACCTCTCACCACCTCCCTGTTCTCCATGCCCAGCTCAGGAAGTGCGGGATTGACCTGCCGGTAGGTGGCTTGCTATGTCACCGTCTTGCCAACAAGAGCTCAGGTTGCATGGCAGCAAGAGGGGGAGAGGGCCATATGCCTGCCACTTGCATTTTCCACGAAGATCTATGCTCCTGGCCACCGGCCTGGTGGGGCCCCCTCCGCCTGTGCGAGCTGGCAGCCAAGTCTTCTCTCCAGGTGCATCGCTGATGCTGGCACCCAAGGCCCAGGGTGCTGGGCTGGTCAGAGGATCGGGGCGGGCAGAGGTCTTCATGCTCCTGCAGGCAATGAGCTCAGTGCTGGTGCCCAGGTTCCGCCTTCCCCAGGAATTCCCTAGACCAGAGGATAATCATCAGCCAAATCCGAGCCCCACCCAGAGATCTGCCTTGCATAGTCCTCACACAGCCCGTCTAAGGAAGACAAGGAGCCTGGAGGACCACATTCCCACTCAGAAAACCACCAGTGAGTTAAACAATCAGGGCACCAATAGCATCACACAGTCAAATCCTGACACNCCCCTTCCAGGCAGCCCCTGGTTACCACATGGCCAAGATGATCATCAAGCTGGTTACCTCTATCGGTGATGTCGTCAACCATGATCCAATTGTGGGCGACAGGCTCAAAGTGATCTTCCTAGAGAACTACCGAGTGTCCTTGGCTGAAAAAGGTACCTCTGGTGAGACTGTGTTAGACCAGAAAGCCCGTCCCTGCTTGGGCGTGATGTGGGTGGTCATTCCTGGTCAAGGGTTAACTCTGTCCCGGATACCAGGCTCCCCAGCCAAAGGGGGTCTTCAGTCTAGCATTTCAAGGCTTTGGGGAACTCTCTATCTGTCCTCAAGTGCGGAAAATTACTCTCAACCTTGGATGTCCTTTGTCTCTGTACTTTCTTGCTCCTGTCCTGACCCCATTATCTCTCCCCCTTCCTCTCGCCTCAGCTTCTCAGTTTTGCCTTTCTGCTGCTGCTGGACTCACACTTGCTGGCAGGATGTGCTTCCATGCAATTCCCCTTCCCCTTCGTCTTCCCCTTCCCTACCCGCAGAGGATGCTTCTGCTCGTCACCACCTGCTCACTCTCAAGAGCATTCATTGCCTGCTTCTTATCTGGGCCAGCGCGCTACTTCTTCTGTCCTTCCCAAGGGCAACTCGGGGCCTGACATCTCGCCCCGCTTTACTGAGAGTTCAGTCTGGGGCCACTCCACTTTGGGGAGACTTGCCTAGGATGTGTTCCTAGGAGAAGGTTCTGAAGAAGATCCTGCAGCCGAATGTGCCTCAGAGCGTGACTATCCTGATCTGGTCTCTTCTGGGCATATTGGCTGGAAAGCACCTGCCCAACCAAATGGTGGAAAGCTGTGCCTGGAATTCTGGCACCAAGTAGCAGGCACCTCTGTGGTTCAGACGGACCATTTGCTGTTTCCTGGGCTTTGTCTGAGTAAAGGTGTGCAGGCTAATTGCCCTTTCCTGCCAGCTT